TCTACTACGTTGGTGGCGGCGGCGGCGGCGCAGGCACGTCGTACAAGTGCCAGATCAAGGCCCTTACTAAGTCGTACGGCAGCACAATGGATCCCGTGACAGGGCCTCCAGCACCGCCCTTTGCGGTGGCAGCAGCGACGCCAGCCGGCGGCGGCGGCGACGCCGCGGACGGGCTAGGGGTGTACGGCGACAGCCCCGGCGGCGGCGGAATACCTTCCACCACATTGCCGCCGCGCGTAGCAGCCGCGTTGGACCGACATGGCCTTCAAGACGCAGTACGATGGATCTCGACCGGACCCGGCGGGGTAACGGTTTCCGGGCAGCCAGAGTCAGGTACGACAATCTACGACACGTGTACGACACCACCTGGGCACCAGGATTATTGGGCCGCAGGAATATGGCCCCTTCTTCCGCTCGCCCCGCACTACACATTTCCTGACAAGGACCAGCACCCCAACCGTCCTCATCCAGGCCTGCATCGAAACCACCACCACCACCACCAGCGCTCCCCGTCCTTTCCTGCCTCTTGTCGTACAACCTAGGGTGTGGGTATTAGATGCCTTAGGTACGGCGATCAGCGTTTCTTGCTTATGGACGAGAGCCTGTTCTTTTCGTCTTCCTTTCATCTTTTGGATCGAAGCAAAGGGATTGTGGGGGGGCGCAGTTCTAACGCACAAGTAGTGTTCTGGCCCTCTGCCGGCCCCAGCAGGTGCGGCGGCTCCATCGCTGTCGAACCCGGCAACTGTAGCAGCAGCAACGGCAATAGCGCCGCCGCAGCCAGCCGCGGCAGGCATTATGGCTGCCGCCGCCGCTACTGCCACTGCCACCGCCGCTGATGCTGCCAGCGCGCTTGCCGTACCGCTTTGCCGCGTGGCCAAGAGCGTTGCCGTACTGGCGGGGGGAAAACCCTGGCTGGCGGTGCTGCGGGGCGACCGGCGATTGGACTGGCACAAGGCACGGTGGGGCGGGGGCGTTTTTGTGGGGAGGGAGGGGGCAGAGCTTAGAGCCACCGGAGCCGCCGCCATCGCCGAGCCGTCGGACGCTGCGACTGCCGTCAGACCTGCTACCGCTGGCGCCGCCGTCTCGGCTGTTGTCGGTTCGGCTGCCGCCACAGCCACTGCCGCCGCCACTGCCGCCGCCGCCGTCGAAGTGGCGGCGTACTTGACTGCAGTAGCAGGAGCGCCAGTCCTAAATCCCATCATGTCACTGAAGGGATCGTTTGCAATGGCGGTAGCTGCAACAGCGGCGGCGGCGCCAACACTAGCGCTGACGGCGGCGGTGGCGGCGCGGCGTCAAAGGGCAATGTACAGCGGTTGTGTCGGCATGGGTCCCCGCAGCCCCCCCGGCGTCAGCGCCATCAGAGCCGGCGGCCGCCGCGGCGGCACAGGGGGCAGCGGTGGCGGCGGGCGCGGACTGGCGGCAGTGTTGTTCCTGCAGCGACGGCGGCCGGCGGCGCCGGCCCCGGCAGCGACTGCAGTGGCGGCGGCTGGCAGGTGCTTGCTGCCATCGGGCCCTTCGGTAGCGGAGGAGGAGAGCTCGCCCGAGTTAGGAGGCGACCGGGGGGGGCCCCGCATACTTAGCTCCAATATGGTGCCGCGGCGGTGTTGTTTTGGGAAATGTGGCAGGGATAAGCGGCGCGGCTCTGTCCAACCCTAGCTGTCTTAAATCGGGGCCAGTTTCCGGACATCCACACCACTGCCACCACCGCTACCATGGTCCCAGCATCTGTCGCTTTCATCGCCTTATCTCCCCTCCTGCCGTGTTTCCAGTTTGCTTCGCCACGTCATTCGCGTCATTCGCGGCCAAGCACAAATGATTACGTCGCGTCTGCGAACTGTCTCATTACCAGCTTGCGCGTCTGTCTGTCTGTCTGTTTGTCTGTTTGTCAGGCCGCTGCGGTGGTAGGGGTGGGCCGCCGCGCGCTGCGGGTGGCCACCCCGGGGGAGTGCGTGTCAGTGTACGGATTCGTACCCGGTGAGTGTGTCTCGTACAGTTTACGACATCTAGCATCGTTCAGGGACTCCGTTTTTTCCTGACAAGTCTTCAACAGGACTGGAGAAACATGGATTCAGTTTCCCCCCCCCCCCTTCCTCCTTCCTGCCTGCTTGTCTGTTTGTCTGTCTGTCTGTCTGTCTGGGTGTTCCCATTGAATTACCTGAACACACCACCTCCCGGTGTGTTACATCTCCCCACGTGCCTCTTTTTAATTTCCCCCCGCTGCGGTGGCAGTTCCTACTTTGGCTTTCTTACAAACCCCTATAACTCCCCCTGCTCCCGGATCGCATTAAATACACAGGCACGCTGCCCCCCTTCGGCCACCCCAGCCCTCTCCCCGTGCTGGTGGATGTGGGACTGGGTGTGCCCACGCGCCGGGAGGGAGGGGAATCGAGGGACGCCGCCGGGACAGGAGCCGGAGGGGTCGCGACGACGGCTTCTGCGGCGGAAGCACCCGTCCTGGCCGCTACTGCTGCTGACACCGCCGCGTCGCTGTTCTGCGGCAGCGGCCTGCCGCAGGCCATCGTGGAGGTGTCGTACGAACAGCTGTTGGCGCTGTCCGGCGGCCGCGCCGTGGACATTGCGGACGACGGACCCGCGGCGGCGGCGCCGCCGCCAGCTGCGGCACCAACCGCCGCCCCTTTTACCGGCCCCGGTGGCAGCAGCGCCGCGTCCGGTGCTGGCGGCCCCACTCGCTTTCTGCTCGACTCGATGTTGGGTCGGTTGTGTCGGTGGTTGCGGTGTTTGGGACTTGACGCCGAGTACGTGGGGAAGACATCCCCCGGCAAGACGGAGTTGGCCAGGGTGGGTGGCCTGGTGGTGGGTTTAGGTAGGAGGTTTGGGGGTCCTTAGGAACGGGGACTAGAGGGGCAGGGATGGGTGGGGCGATCGGGAGTTTGTGGGGCAGAGTGGGATGGGGTGGGATGGGGTGGGGATTGCTGAAGAGTATATGTTGGCAATCAGGCTCTGCATGTGCATGTGCCCCCCCGCCCTAGCCACGTTGTTCGGTATTTGCTCAATCGATTCCGATACGGCCTCGTCATCCCGTACACCCGTCTAACCAACCACAGCTCGCCGCACGAGCTGCACGGGAGGGACGTATCTTCCTCACAAGGGATTACCGGTTGGCGGAACAACGTGACGTGGCAGCGCCGTACGTACTGCACAGTGATGATGCAGCGGCACAGCTGGACGAGCTTGTACGGCACTTTAATGTCAGGTGTGTATGTGGGGAGTTGGTGTGTGGGGTGGGGTGGGGTGGGGGAAGGGAGTTAGCTCGCGCTGCGGTGTTTCGAAATTGGAGCCCCGCCAAGGGTGATGAGGCATCCGCTCACCCCACCCAACCTCACCGCATCATCATCACCATCATCACCATCATCATCATCACCATCACCATCATCATCATCACCATCACCATCATCATCATCATCATCATCACCATCACCATCACCATCATCATCATCACCATCACCATCATCATCATCATCACCATCACCATCACCATCACCATCACCATCACCATCACCATCACCATCACCATCACCATCACCATCACCATCATCACCATCACCATCACCATCATCATCATCATTATCATTATTACTTCTCTCTGTCGCACACACTTCACACTCACACACACCCTCTCCTTCCTGCCTTCCTCCCTGGCCCGCCTCCTCCCCCTCCTCCTCCCCCTCGTCCTCTGCTGCCTCCACCGCCGCTGCCAGGTTCGACGAGGCACTTGTGATGTCCCGATGTAACGCCTGCAACGCCGCCGCCTTCCAGCTGATCACCCCCCGTGAGGCAGCTCGGGACCTGGTGCCGCCGCGGGTGTTTGAGGTGAGGGGTGGGGGGGTGAGGGGTGGAGGGGTGGGGGGATGGGGGTGAGGGGTGGGGTGGGGGGGATGGGGGGGTGAGGGGTGGGGGAGAGAAGAAGTTAGGGACGTCGACCTGGACAGGGGGGGACTTAGAGGAGAATGGAAGGACGCACGAGGGAGAAAGGGAATGAGCTTAAAGGGGGAGGCAAGGGGGGAGTTGGGGCTTCGGATGAGCAGCACCCGAGTGGCGGTACGACAGCCGGATGACATGTACGGCATGGTGAACAAGATGAACCTGTCTTCCGAACCTCCCCAAACTCACTAAATTTGCTTCATCTGACATCCCAGCCGCCCCCTCTCTGCAGGCCCCTTGCAGCCGCCTACGTCCCCCGCTGCCAATGCTCTTTATGATGGCGCTCTAACACGTGACTGCCGTGACTAGCCCCTCCCCTTCCCTCGCGCGCGCACCCGCCCCCTCCCAGTCCGCCACTCACTTCCAGCCACCTCGCCTCTCCTCATTGCAAAGTTTTCTCTCTTTCCTTACTACGTTTTGGCCACACACAGAGACACACACAGACACTTCCCGCCACAACTCACCCACTTCCTGGCGGCCTTGTGCACTGTCCGTATGCCGCAGCTGGTGGAGGAGTTTTGGCGGTGCGGCTGCTGTGGCAAGGTGTTCTGGATGGGTCCCAAGTCCGCATCCGCCATCACGCTGGTGGGCGGCATGTTGGCCCGCAGCCGCCAGCGCGAGGACGGCCCCACTCTGAGCTTCTTCAACGACGGGTACTCCACGGCAACAACGCCAACTAACCACAACGGCAATGGAGGCAACGGCAATGGGGGCAGCGGAGGCAGCAAACCGTTCGTGGTGAATGCGGGGACGTGCGGGCATCGCTGCGTTGAGGAGGGTGTGGGTCGGGGAGAACCGGCAGAGGCGGAGGGGAAGGAGGGGGAGGGGGAAGGTGGAGAGGTCGGGGTATGGCGTGGTGGTCGGCAGGGGGGAGCGGCAGGGGGGAGTGAAGGGGGGGAGGAAAAAGGGAAAGGAAGTGGTGTCGGAGCGAACTCAGTGGCGATGGCAGTGGCGGTGGCGGCGGCTGCCGCTGCGACGGCGGCGGCAGCGGTGGCGGCGATGGCGGCACCCAGGTGGGCGGCGGCGGCAGCTGCCGCGGCAGCAGCGGCGGTGGCGGCGAAGGCGACGGATGCCACGGCCACGGTCGCTACTGCTAACGTGGGGGCCCCCGGGGGGCCGGCGGTAGGGGCGCCGGCTGTGGCGGCGGCTTCCAACGGTACGGCATGTGAGAAAAATACGGAAGCCATGCAAGCGGCGGCAACGGCCGAGGCCGAGGAGCCTGTGCGTGGGATGGTTTCGGTGCCAGCGTGGCGGTGGCGGCAATAAGCGGCGGTGTCTGTGTCTGTCTGTCTGCCTGTCTGTCTGTCTGTCTATCTATCTGTATATAAAGTGTTGGATGCCATGTAACTTTCAAGATCACCTCCGCGAAAGGGGAAAAGGAGCGCAGAGCCCCGGGAGACTGGGTTTGTGTGACAAGGGGGACACAGCACTCCGTTCTGTGTCTCTTCAATACTTCAAGGCGGCATATGAAGGGAAGAGGGCCATGAAGGGAGGAGGGCCCAGCTTTTTGTGCTTGGCCGCGGCGTCCAGGAGTACCGAATGCGGCAACATACTTGCGGCCTTGCGCCCGGTAATCCGGCAGCCGCCTCGACCAATATATGACCACAGGGCGGATTAGCCCGAACTCCTCCAGTAGACCAGGGCACGGACCACTAACAAACAGGCCACTAACCCGGTGACTTGGTCCAGGTACAGCTAGTCCAGGCAAGGAATCATCAACATCGCCCCTTTTGGTGCAGCAGCAATCTGTGTAGATGTGTGATGTAGAGGTGTCTTCTTCTGATATGGATCCAGGGGGAGCTGCAGGGTTGGCATTGGCCGGTCGTCGAGGGCTCACCAAGGGGCCCGCGTGTTTTAAGGTGCCGGTCGGAACCCTCGTAACCCCATACCAGGCGTGTTGCAGTTGATGATACTTCCCACAGCAGGTCCGCGTCCAGAGCGTCAGCTGTGCCTGCATACTTGTCCAAGTTCAATCCGTTGCCGGTACAACTGCCATCCACCACGCTTAGCGCTCCCCCTAGGCCCTGATGCGTTGTACGCCCCTGCACTGTTATGTGCAGTGTACCCATGGCCTACAGATGAAGGCACAAGACAGACCTACTGGGGCGTGGTTTCTGAGCATTTTTAATGCGGCACAAAATCATGAATGAACGAATATTAGAGCGGGGCCTAAATGGGATCAGTATTGAGGGACGGTCATGTACGACCACCACCAATCAGCGCCGTGCACGGTCGGTGAGGCAGACCGCGGCAGCTTTAGCGGGTGTATCATCGAATGGAAGGGTGCAAGGGGCCTCACTCCGCCCGGGGGACGGAAGGGATGCTAGGAATGGAAGGGTCCAGGGAGAAGACACCTTTTTGGGGGTGTTGGGGGTTGCTAGGAAGGGAAGGGACCAGGGTAGGGATGTGAGGTCCCTGTATAGGTAATACTATTCCTTGCATTCTCCTATGGCTCCTTGTTATAGGAGCTATAGGTACTAGTACTCCTTGTCGTCCAACCCTCAACATGGGATGTCGAAGCCCAGCTGCACGGCTAGATTTTGGCCTGGATGTTGGCCTGGGATTTGGTCTGTTGGAGTATAGATAGTTTGTAAATAGGGTGGGAATAGACGCGGTTCATAAGATCGTCACCCACGAAAGCAAGGAAATTGGGACGAGCAAACGGAATGGACGATGAGCTGAAGCATTGACCTCCATGAGCAGACTTTGTATTATGCCACATTAACTACGGAATAAAAGGGTCTTCCCTATTAGGCTCAAGTATTTTGCTTGGCTGCCGACTTCCTGACCGTTGTGGACACAATTGCGCCCAAATCTGCAGTTTGTGCCAACAAGCTCCGCGCGAGTACATTGTACTAGTTGCACCTTTGTTGATCATTTGTCTAAGATGCCACCTAAAGCTGATGCCAAAGCGTCTGAGCCGAAAGGCGCCGCCCGTTTCGGACGGGTCCGAAACTCCTTGAAAATGGGTATCGTTGGCCTACCCAACGTGGGAAAGAGCTCGTTGTTCAACTTGCTAACAGAGCAGGTGTGCTAATCGTGTGGACTTAACCTTGGTCCACGGTCGTTGCTGCCCATGACGCACTTCTATGTTTTATGTGTTTTACACCCCCTGCCATCGCTTTCAAAATGGCACTGTAGTCGCACGACTAGATCTTATCCCCCTTCCTCTTTTTTTCGTGTACTGCAAACCGGCTCCGTAACACTGCTATTGCACATCCGCTTCTGGAGGGATGCCGCACCGCCGTCACGACACCCTCACCCGCAGGAACAGCATCGCGCGCACTCCCTACGCCACCTCGCAAGCCCACGCATGCATGCTGTCTTCTAGCGCCTCGCCAAGCCCACCTCGTTGCGCATATTTTTTCATCTCTCCACCTGACCCAGATCAGGTTATTGAGGCACGCACAAAGCGCAGCTCTTTCCCGACACTCCCACGTCTTCAAAATCCGCATTTCAGCCTCCGCCCGGTGACCACCTTCTGGGCCCGCAACCCCACAGAACATTGCCGCGGAGAACTATCCTTTCTGCACCATCGACCCCAACGAGAGCCGATGTGCCGTACCGGACGAGCGGTACGACTGGCTATGCAACTTGTGGAAGCCCCCCAGCATGTGAGTAGCACATAACCGGGATAATCTCTAATCCGCGGAGATGGACATCATCCCGTCCTGACTCGTGGGGAGCGGGGAGGGGTGGCGGCTGTGCAGCGTAACGGTTTTTGCCGGCGGGGCGATTTGGGTCGATTTGGGTCGTCAGCCCCCATACGTTCCCCCTCAATTCAAATCCAACATTCAGGTACCCGGCTTACCTGCAAATAACTGACATTGCTGGGCTGGTGCGCGGCGCTGCAGAGGGTGCGGGTCTGGGCAATGCCTTCCTATCGCACATTTCAGCTGTGGACGGGATCTTCCACGTGGTGCGTCGATGGAGCAGGGCTGGGTGCGGGTGTGGGCGTCTAGGGGGAAAAGGGCCTAGGGAAGTGAGGCTGTCCGGGTGGGAGTGATTCGTGTGGCTGTGGGATGGGCGTGCGCGGGGAGTGCTGTGCGCCTGGTCAAGGGGTCCTGCTCGGTCGTGTTGCCAGATTATGTTGGCAGCATGTGTTGAGTTGAATGGGTGAAGTAGGAAGGTAGGAACCTGGCATCTGGCACCAGCCCCGGGAAAATGCCGAGGGCTGCCTGGCATTCTAGCTGGGTGACCATTCATGGAGCGACCTCATGGGCCGCTTCTGGTGGCGTAGTGCCTGTCCAGTGCTTGTCCTGATCCTTCCCCGGACTAAACCCGTAAAACCCGTTCCTGCCTCCGAACCTTGGACCCGGTTGACCTTTCTTCCCCCTAGCGAACCCCTGACACGTACCCCCCGGCTTGGCCGTGCCGTGGCATGGCGGCGCCCCATCCCGCCCCTCCCGGGCCTCGTCTTCCCGCCGTAACCCACATTCGGCCTCCGCAGGTTCGCGCCTTCGACAACGACGAGGTCGTACATGTGGACGACAGCGTGGATCCGATTCGGGATCTGGAGACGATCCAGGTGGGGGGCCCATCTGGCGGTGCTGGACCTCGCGGTAATCGCGGTTGCGCCGTCAAGTGCGCCGTCATTAATAACGCTTGTTGCGGGGGTGCTGGTGGTGATGATCATGATTTAAACCCCCCCCGTAATCACCGCCTCATAATGCCACAATCAACCTCCTCCAACCTTCCCCCAGGAGGTTGCGCTCGGGCCGCGTCCGGTTCCCTTACCTTCCCCCTAACTGCCTGCTCCGCGCCGCCACACCCGCTTCGCCCCAGATGGAGCTCTGTAAAAAAGATCTGGAGTTTGTCACCAAGGCAGAGGAGAAGGAGCTCCGCGACGTGAAGAAGAGCCAGGGCATGAAGATCAGCCTGGCCTTCACCACCACCTTCGACAAGGTCAAGGCCATGCTGCAGGTGTAAAGAGTGTAGGGTGTGGGGTGGGGTGGAAGAGAGTGGATGTGCGGAGGGTGTAAGGCTGGGTTGCTGTGAGGCCGGTCGGATGGCAAGGGCATTTGATGCTCTGATACGGCTGGTTGTTGCCGGACGTTAGGTTATACAGGTGGTGGTATAGGAGGGCCGTATTCCTGTAGAACAGAGTGGGTACTCCTACATCCGGACAAAGAGATTCGATATGATGGGGGGCTTTGTCCCTTGTTGTTCTTGACCGTGTATGAGGCAGGCCCCTTCATGGTCGAGTGTGCGTGACTGGCTCTTTTCGTGTCTTGTCCAGGGTTGAGGATTCCGGTGAAACGCAGGCTGGCAACCATGCTGCTGCGCAGAGCGCCTTTGTCGTGATCACGTTGCCCATCCGTATCGCCCTTCTGGTCGCCTTTCGCACCTCGTGGTGTGTGGATCTTGACAAGCACGTGCAAACCTGTGCCCGCAATGTCGCGCTCTTGCACGCACTCTTCCCACTCCCACTGCAGGAGAACAAGCCGGTCCGTTGTGGCGACTTCAACAGCAAAGAGGTGAGAGAAGGCTAGGAGGGGTGTAGACTGCCGAGGGCCGCAGGGGGTGTCACGCATGCATGCATGTATGCATGGGCGGAGGGAGGGCAGGAGGGGATGAGTTTTAGGGAGAAGACACCGCACCACACACCCCCTCGGTTGTGTTTTCGCCCTTGGCCGTCGACTAAACTTTATCAATGTTGTCCTGGCCGTCGACTAACCTCTACGAACGACCTCACGCAGGTGGAGCTGATACGGGAGAAGTTGGATAACCTCATCACCACAAAGCCCGTCGTGTACCTTGTGAACCTTTCGGCATCTGACTTCGTGCGCAAGAAGAACAAGTGGTTGGCCAAGATCCACGCCTGGATTCAGGTACGACAGGGCCTTTGGATCCAGGAAAGCGCTTATCCCCGCCCGCTGTCATCCGCTCGCTGTCATTCCGCCCCCACATATGGCGGTGATGGCTTTCTTCCCTTCAGCCGCTGGGTGCACGTCCTGTACCGCTTCAGTAGTTTTGGTTGCCTTGTTACGTTTTATGGGAAATCGCTTTATTACCTTTTATTGGGAGTGGTGCCTCCCTGGAGCTCCACCCAGGTGCCGGCATGGCAATCGGTGGCTTCCCTAAATGTTCATCGTTGATACAAACGTCGCGAGTTGCGGCGTTCGTGTATATAACTTAACTCGGCATGCTTGGATGCGTGTGTGTGTGTATTACACCTCGGTTGCGTTACCCAGAGAGGTGAAACGAGTGCCCATGCGAGCTAGCAGAGGCGCAAGAGCCTCCTAAGAGCCACAAGCTAGTGTGAAACTCGTCTGGGGCCATCAGAACAATCGTGATGGGGTTGTCTCCAAATGGCTCTTGGAGGCCCTCGGGGGGGGCGCTTGGGAGGACAACTCGGAATTGTATATTTACGATGGTTCGGTGTTCCCCCCAACAGCTCTTTTTTCGTTGCATCCCCCCTTCCCCCCTTCCCCCCTTTCCCCCTCCTCATATTTCGACACATTCGCTTCTTTTGCAGTTTTTTCGCAATCTTTTTACCTTTTCGCACTTCCATTTTTTGGCCGTTCCCTCCTTTCCCTCCTTTCCCTCCGTTCCCTCCTTCCCCTCTCGGGCGACATGAGACCCTTTTTCAACCCCACCTCCGATCTCTCGCGTTCAGGAACACGGTGGCGGTGTGCTGATACCCTTCAGTGTGGAGTGGGAGTCCAAGCTGTGGGCCACCAGGGACGACCCGGATGGACGCAAGGCCTTTCTGGACGCTAGCGGGGGAGCTGTGTCGGCGCTGCCAAAGATGGTCGTGCAGGTATGGACCGGAGGTCCTGGCGCCCTCTCCTGTCTCTGGTCCTCCCCCCGGTGTTCGGGGGCAACCCATGCAGTGCGATGCGGCTCAGGATTGTGGTGGCCGCCCCGCATTACTACGTATCCATTTGCGGGTACGAGTCTGTGACCTGAGTACGGAGTGCTGGCATGCGTGAGTGCGTGCATGAGTGTGCGTGTATTTCTTGTTCCAGTTGTTGTCCTCCATTCCGCCGCACCTATTCTCCTCAGGGTTTCAAGGAGCTCAACCTGATTTACTTCTTCACGGCGGGTGAGACGGAGGTTCGCTGCTGGACCATCCAGCGCGGCACCATGGCGCCCCAAGCTGCGGGAGTAATCCATTCGGACATGGAGCGGGGCTTCATCAAGGCCGAGGTGAGGGGAGGGAGGGAGGGAGGGGAGAGAGGAATTAGGTGTGGGTTGAGCTTGGGGACTTGGGTGGGTTAGGGAGGGGGGTGGGCTGCGGTGAGGCGGTTGACGGGCACTGCGGAGAAATGACGGGAGAGGGAAGCCCGGGAAAGAGATGAAAGGGCCATGCCAGCTGCGACCATGCCAGCTAGTCCGTGAGCATAGATCTGTCCAGAAAAGCCAGGCGTGCATGCAAAATCTCACCCATGCTCCCCATGCACGATGGCGGCGGTTGCGCCCACATCGCAGGTAGTGTCGTACAACGACTTCCGTTCTCTGGCCACCAGCAAGAGCATGATGGAGGTGAAGGCGGCTGGCAAGTACCGTCAAGAGGGCAAGTCGTACGTGGTGGAGGACGGGGATATCATCTATATCCAGGTGGGGTGGTGGGGGAGGAGGGAACGGAGTGATGTTTGGGGGGGGAATGGAGTGGCGTGGCGTGGAGGGACGAGGGGATTTGGAGGACAGAGACACCCGATTTAATAATCAAGGTGTCCTTAGTCAAATGTTCGCAAGAGCATGACCCCTGCGCCCAGGTGTCGCCATTTTTTGCCTGTCCGTCCTTTCGAACGAAAGTCAGGATCAGTTAAGCCACATGCCTACGCATGTTGAACAATTGCCCCCTGTGCTCGGGCCCGAAGGGCTTTCGCCTGGCTGCGTTCCCCTCCCCCGCTCTTCACCTTCTCCCGCTCCCTCATCTCATACGTTGTGCCCCTCTTTTCCTCCTTCTTTTGGACCGCAGTTCAACGTCACCTCCTCGGGTAAGAAATAGTTAGGAGGAGGCGCAGGAGGAGGAAGGGCCCACAAAGACTGTCCAGTCAAAGCGCGGTCAGCGGCTCTAGCAGCGCCGTTCTTTGAGGGCTGACTGATTTGCATGTCTGCTTTACGTGAAACCCGGAGGGCGGTGAGCTGCCCCCCCCCCTGGGTAACGGCGAGGGAGCGTCTCGAGGGTGTGGCACGCTAGGCATGTTGAAGTGTCTGCATCCGGTACCACCCAAACTTCTGCAGTCAATATAAGTGCGTGTGGGGGATGGTAATGACGAGGGCCATGATGGTGATGCAGCAGGATGAATGGTGTGTCCCGAGAGCAGGGTCGTCGGCATCGGCAGTGGCTGTAATGGCTGTAGTGGGAAGGCATCCGCACGGGGTGTGGGAGGGAGGAGGGGATCAAGGGAGGGCTGTTAGATGGAAGAGGGTCGATTGTGTTTAGGAGTGTATTTGGGCAATGGGGACTGCTAATGTCAGCTGCCTGGGTAATGACATTTCCGGTAGATGGGAAAGATGGCCGGTAAGAGATGTTCAAATCGTGCTGCGAGACGACTTATGTAAGTTATGCTCCTTGTGTGAGCACTACAGAGGCTTAAATACAGATCCAGATGGCGGCGTGGCGACCATGGGACAAATGCATGTTTCACGCATGTTTCTTGATTACTCGCACGTATCCATTTTGCAATTAAACTGCGTTGTGAACTGTTTGTGTATGGTAGGTCCGGCGCTTTTGTGGGGCGTTTTGCGTGAAGCCAACTTTAAAAATACGTCACCAGGCCTGCGTTGGCAGTCTCAAACAATGCGACAGCGCGTACACGGCATCAGGAGCCAGTTAACGAACTGCAACTCAGTTTCGACGTTCTAATCTCAAACGCAAACCAACCCATCGAATACATCGCGAGCAATAATGTCACATAAATAATGCAGACGACCGCCTCGCCGCCGCCGTTTAATGTATCCCGAGAAAAGAGGATTTCAAATCGCCACAGTTTCACGACAACATTGCCTCATGCAGCAGAGGCGGCACCATCTTCGGACGCCGAAAATGCAATCCGATATATGTAATGCCTCGCAACTGTCACCCTCCGAATTGCCATAACAGGCATTATACCAGCGCGGTATCCTGGGAACCTTTCGATATCACTTGGGCGGACGATACATACACGACGACATGGCAACGGGAATCGTAACGACCGTTGCCTGTCCAGGACAGCCAATTATTTTACGAACTTGCAAATCACAAACCCGCACAGCACGCACATTACCACACTACCTTGATCAACCGCAGCTCCTTTCTTAAATTTATATAGTGTGTGCGCAGGCCGATTGAGGCGACACTTCCTTTGGGTTCAGACAAAGCAATGTACCTAAACCCCCGGCCGTACATGTCCCTCCTTACAGCCGTCAGGCCGAGGGCGACGAAGAGGGTGGCTGCACCAGCGGCCAGTCGGTGAAGCCCACAGCATCCTCAGCTGGGTCCTTGCTGTACCACACCTTGGCGTTGTAGCTGCCTGCACGGAAGCAAGATGGATGTACGGCATGGGTACGGACATGCGCGCGCATTCTTGTGTTATGTGACGTGCGTGTAAGCAACACGAGTTGACGACCTTCCGCCCCAACCAGCCCCTGGCGCCCAGTATTAAGAAATCCGACAAGCTGGCACAAGGCAAAACAGAGTTGGCCACTACAAGACTTGTTCTACATAGCACAAGCGCCCTAAGCGAGAGGGGACAGGGCCCTTGGGTGGCACCGGCCTTGGCATACGTGGACGGGTAAATGGATAGAAGTCACGGGCGCATCCTTCATCAAATTTGAAGGCGCCCATCCCTCCACGCACCCATATTCAGGCCGCCCGTCTTGACTCCTCCCGCCACCAGCTCAGGAAGGTTGGCGTTGGCGATAAAGTGGACTCCGTACAACACCACGTCAGCCACACCGTCGGTGACGTACTGCTCCCCTGTTTGCCAGGAACACAGCGGCGCGGGCCGGCTTTCAAAGGTGGGACTTTGGGGGGGGGGAGGGTGAGACTGAGGGGGAGGGTTGCACAGAAGCATTTTCCTCCTCTTCTACAAATATCGGAAGGTGCCCGGCATGGAAGTGCCGTCGCACGTGGCAGCATGGTCCAGTACGAGAGGGCTCAAGAGATGTCACATCGACTTAGAAGTGTAGTTATTACACCCATATCGAAGCACGCAATGCTGCAACTGAGTCCCCCCCTCCCTCATTGCTCGCCCCGTCACACCTTGCTCGATGCCGAGGCCGCCGTTGATGGCCAGAGTTCCGGAGTACTTGGATCGGAAGTCGCGGAACACGTCGAAGTTCACGTTGGGGGCCTGCAGTCCCGCAAACCTGTTTTGCAAGGGAGGTTGGTGAATGTGACGTGCAGGGCCACCGGCGTTAAGTTCTAGGTGAGGACGAGTTATCCTTTTTTATCCTTTTTTGAGGTTAGGAGGCATTTTTTTACAGGGAGGAGGCGAGGGAGGTTTCCTGCGTTGTGGGAAAGGTTGTAGGAAAGAGGCACACAGGTACACGGGGGTAGACGTCCCTGTCCTTTAAAATGCACGACGCAGTACCATAAAGCGCCAACCAAACCAGTGTCATTGAATCCACAATACACTACACACCATCCACGCAAATTTAAAGCACACACGCCGGCACGCGCAAAGCGCACACATGGCCCAGAACCCTTACTTGTAATAGGGCTCCCCGTTCAGGCTCGACAGCGTAACGAACGCCAACTTGCGTTTCGACAGCTCCGGACCCAAATAGTCCAGTGTCTGCGGGTTTTAGGTATTGGTGGTTCGGTTGGTGGAGGGGGTGGGACGGCACGGCGCCGGGCGGGGGCCAAGGCGCGGTGAGGGCCAAGACAACGCATACACAAGACTTACCACTCCTCACAAACCTTACCCTAGGATCGAATTGAATACTAAGGGAGTTCTTCACTGACCAGTCCTGGCGAGTATGGTTGCAGGTTATTGCTTACCAAAAGCAAACGTGTGGGTCTTCATCGGAATTCCTTAATCAGGTACTGCCTTCCTACTGTACTTCAACCTTCACGTACACCTACAACTCGTACACCTACACCACAGCAGTGCAAGCCGCCTCGAGCTCTCCGCAGCGCGTCTCCGCCCTCTGCAAAACGAACCTCACAGTCCCTCACCTTCCAATGTCCGCCTAACTTTTTCCTCCCCATAACAGCCCGCAAACCCCTCGTCCTCCTGCAGCCCCAAACCCGCCGGGCCCCAAACCCCAACCTCCGCAGCCCCATACCCCCCTGCACCCCAGGCCCGCACCCACCTCCCGCACGTCCTCCTCGGGCTCGATAAGGTCGGAAAATGTGACTCCGGGTTGCAGCTTCACGGCGGTGCGCTGCGGACCCAACGCAGCCGCCACCGCGTCAATCGCCTCCAGCAGCAGGCGGGATCGGTTGGCGATGGACCCGCCGTACTTATCCGTACGAAGGTTGGTTTTCTTGGCCAGGAAGCTCTGCAGCAGATAGCCGTTGCCGGCGTGCAGCTCGACGCCGTCGAAGCCGCCCAACTGGGAGGAGGGGGTTGCGGGGGTTGGAGGGGGGGGAAGGGTTGGGCCAAAGTCGGGAAAGGAGGAGGTGGGAGAAACAGCGAGCGAGGGAGGCGGATGAAACCTATATGACTACAAGCATCCTATGATTACAAACAGTGTGATCCAGCTGCATGCGGCCCGAGCAGGGAGGTTGGTTGCCGCGCAAGAGGCAAATGGTAGCTGCTGAAACATAACATCCAGTAAACCTAAGCCTGAAAACTATACACAGCTTAAAACGTAATAAATGTAAAACTTTTAATCCCTAAAATCCCCAAAAAATATAATCACACATCGCGTCGATTACCTGGTGTCAGCAAAAGTGGATACGCATCTGCCCCGACGGCCCAGTGCACCTCTCACCTTCACCGCCCGCACGGCCGCCTCCGCAAACTTGCTCGGCAAGGCCTCCACCTCCGCCGTCGTCAGCTCCCGGGGGACCTCGTAGTCCTGCTTGACACCGCCCTCAACGTACAGCTGACCTGGTAATAATCAACATGAGAACGTGGCGTCAATTTCTCATTTATACACGCATCACACTGCACGCTCACCTCGAAACGTACAAAATTACTTGGGGAGTAAACTTTACATCGTGATATCAAAGGGTAGGGCAAAGGGTTCAAATCAATACCGCAAGGCCACCACCGCCCCGGAGAGCGCACCTGCCATGCCCACGGGGCTCGCGGAGACGGGCAACTGCTTTCCCACCAGGCTGCTGTGTGACACGCGGCCTGAGGAAGGAGGGGGTGCGTGGGGTGACGGCGGGAGAAAAGAGACAAGGAGTAAAACAAAGATGTGAAGGAGTGCGGCGGAAGGGGGTGAGGAGCGGTAGAGAGGGTAGCAGCAGCACCAGACAGCAAGGCGGGAGATGGGTCGCTGGCTGGCTGCGAAACGGCGCTGCCGAACCCCACCCCGGCCTCCGTCTCCTTCACGGCCGCCGTGTGTCCCCAAACGCCGGAGAGCCCTCACAGCCCTCACCCGCATGGAACAGCTGCATGTAGATGTGCCCTCCCTTGGCGTGAACTCGCTCCACTACGGGCCGCCAAGCAGCCGCCTGCGGGTCAGTGGCCATACCAGGCGCCCTGGGCCAGTGGTGGGGGGGGGGTCGCAGGGAAAGGAAAGGAGGAGGGTTAGCAAGGCTGAGCTGGCGCGGGAAACGGCTCAGAGGGACGGGGTAAAAGCATGCAGGCAGAAAACACAGCAGCTATTAAAACGCGCTGTGATGAGCACTTTCACTGCACGTCTATTACATAGCGCCAGGGGAAGGGGAAGGGGAAGGCCAGGACCGTCACCGCTTGCCCGCGCTCAGAACGGCAACTATATATTATATGGACAGCCATTCGTCCATCCATCCATCCATCCATCCATCCATCCATCCATCCATCCATCCACCCACCCATCCAGCCAGCCATCCAGCCATTCGCGAGTCTTCTACTCCAACTCTACAACGGGCTATCCGGTCACCATCTGGACAGCCATATGGCCGTTACGATACGTCATCGTGTGAGGGGGCCATTTGGGTTTTTTTCTCTCTGAGTCCTCTCATCTCATCTCACTAGGTGGACCAGCACGCGGAGGGCGGGCCGCTGCTCACCGGACGTAGCCGCGGCCCTCGGGCACAACGTAGGCGCATTCCGTGATGATCAGGCCCCCCTGGAGGATATCAGTTTGGATGAGCCGTTTGGAGGAGGGCGTGGTGGTTGCGGGGAATGGCCAGAGGAGAGGGGCCCCAGGAAGCAGGGTTTGGTGCGGGGCGGGTGCTGATCTGGCCTGACTTGTACGCGGGAGGGTTACCGGGCTGAGGGAACTGCCTGGACACGCCATGTGGATAAGAAGAGCGTGTGCCTCTCGAGTTTTGCACACGTACGTGTTTTGTCACGGGGGGGCATCGCTCACAAAATTGTGGCGTTAGGCGGCGATAAACGGGAGCTGGGGGATGGACGGTGGGAATCCTATCGAAAGGGTCAAGGAGGTATTTTAGAGAGGAGATATTTTCCAACATCCATAGCTGTTTGGTTTTGAAGGGCCGCCGAATACTTGCCTTGGAGGCTCGCTGCTCGTAGTAAGTGGCGACCAGATCATTGGGCAGCTCTGAGCCGGGGGTCATCCTCAGGCGAGTCATGGGGCTCATTGCGATGCGGTGCGATAGCTGCACCTCTCCGATTTTGACCGGGGTCCACAATGGAGAGCGCGCACTGCTGCAGCGGCGGCGAGCAGGAATGTGCACGCGTCATTGGACAGCACAGGACGATGAGTGCCACCAACAACAACAGCGCAGCAGCAAGATAAAAATGTATTAGTATTGTCGACAGCAAAAGCATAGCCGTTATATTGAGGTAAATTGCGAGATGTGTGAGCTATGAAGAGGAATACTTTGGCAGTTATCGGTGGGGTTGGGGGCATGAAGCAAAGCTCCCACAGAAGAATGGAATTTGAGTCGAAAGTAAAGACATAGTTTGGAAGAGACGGGGGAAGGGTTTAGGTATTGAGGTCGTCGTGGTTTGAATTGTGCGGTGAAGCCCGGTAAAGGGCTTGATAGGGGTGCTGATAGGGGGTCTTGGGGAAGGCTTTAACCCAGGTGACGTGAGCTGTGTCAAAGGAATGGCTCTGTTGAGATTATACCTGTCCGCTCCTGCGTCTGACGCTGTCGCCATGGTAGTCGACTGTAGAACAATTTGATGCGCTCTTGAAACCTGAAGAGAGGCCGTCAGTAGCTGGTCAAGAGAACCTGAACAACATGACATGTTCCGTATGCATGGCAGCTGAATACCAAACCTTTTGTGCAAGTCTGAGCCTTGACGTGAAAGCGAAACGCTGCATAACGCAGGGTAAGCGCGATGGTCTCGAACTCCAGGTCACCGAGCAGGCCGAGTCCGGGCCGCACAACCCCACGATATGCACAAAAGAACTCCAGAAAAAATATTTGCTTTGATTACTTTATAGCACAGCATGGCTTTTGTTATACAGCATACGCATAACTGCCGTAGGATTACAGCAGTTGGTGCCGGAATGACGGATAACGTCCAGCGCATTACGCTGTTTAGGTCGTAATAGACAGACAGACTGTATATTACAAGCCTGCAGGAGATCTTCCGTTAGGTTTGAGTCTTTTAACTCTTCCCCTGTTTTCCGCAAGCTTAGGCGGCGGGTTTTCCTAGCGGAAGTGGAGTACCCAGAAATGGGATCCATTCAACCGACTGCAGACGAAATGATAAGTACTATTACGGTTCAGGCTGCAAAAGCATGTTTTATTGATCTCTATCTCTGAACACAGCGTATGGCAGTCGAAAGAATCACCCCTCTGAACAGCATGATGTGACATGGATACGGCGAAACAGCTGAACATATGATATCTGTATTAGCTGCTTAATGTATTGGTATCCTAGAATCGCAACCATAAGGGGCTCCTCATGCGTATTCGACTTGTCCAGAGGTCCTCGCTAGACTGCCGCCTATGGCACCATGTCGAATTGAAGCTGGATACAGCCCCAGCAACGCATACGGGTGTGTCCGATGAATGTCGGAGTGTGTCGGGGGGCCTTTGCCGAGGCAGAGGGGCCACAGATGGGGCAGCAGTTCCGTCCGCACCGCGACTTCGCGCCGTCAGCGGGCCAGATAAACTTGCGGCCGTGGCCTCTCGCCTTGGGGACTCGCATCTAGCACACCTAGTACGAGCGCAAAAATTACGGTTCGGAGCCTAACGTATGTTTAGGAGCTAGTTGGGGATCACATGTAGTCCAATTGGAGTATGACTGGAAGTGCAATTCGAGTCGACCTCATGAACCGTGTTCATATGCAATTTGCCGCACGGCCAACAAAGCGTGAGATGCCACCACGTCCAGCTGATGCACCACGGCTGCGTCCCATCACCACCCAAGGCAAACCAGCACTATCTAAGAACAGTACAATATATCTATCGTTCTGGCGACGGAATCTATTGCCTGGCTTATACATATCTGCAACTATTGGCGAAGATTGCTCCGTGCGCTTTGTGCAATTTATCAACCGGAAATTGTTAAATGTATCATCATAGACGTAATTATGAGTAACAGTTTATTGGAACGGAGGGGAGGTTTTCATCAATTACCTCGAGTCATACCCCAAGAGAACCCCCCCCAGACCCCAATTCCGATTTAGGTCCAATTGTCTCCGATGTAGGTTCCATTTGGCTCCGATTCAGAGTCCAATTCGCATGAATCAACCCTGATTCGTCTACATGTGAACATGTCCTTCCTTAGACCCTAACGAATGTTCGAGCTCAGGCCCGCCACAGGCCAGTTAACCGTACTTGCCTACAACGGCCATGACACAACGCCGCAGCCAGCATATAATCTGTTCAAAGTTTTTAAACTCAGGTTTATGACATTGTGGCCACCAAAAATTCTCCACCAATAATTCAAAGGCTTTGTGGAGGCCGCCGAAACAATTTCTTTGCTATGTAGGTCGCTCCAAGTACCGGTATCGATTCAGCTTTGATACTGTATGGAACAGTGTGTTGAAACTTGTACCTATATAAAAAGTTTGTATCTTCGTGCCAAGACGAAATATGCCTGAACAAGCATACGGTCTGAAGACAGCAAACGTTTCCCATGGACCCGTGAGGATGCGCAAATGCGCAGGACCTTTTGCTCAGGCTCTAACGTAGGCCTGAGCTCTGAAAGGGTATCTGCACCTAAACTGGTTTATGATCTTGGCGCTTGTAGTCCTTGCAAGGGCGTCGTTATCATTCGGGTGTACCGGGCTCCGAACTATGCACCGTCAGACCGAAACCGAAATCTGTCGGAGCTGCCGCATGATAGCTTATTTCATAGTTTTGACCGCTAGAGTGAGCACACTGCCGTGCCAGTACATACCGCTGCTCTCCGGAACCCTCCTTACCCCTTAGTGATGATGGCATAGTTTTATCAATCTAAGGCTCGCTGCATGGAAAGAACTGCGCGCAAGGTCAAAAAGCAATGCCGCGTTGCAGGTAGCGGAAAAGCTCCCACTGCGCGATGAGGTGAAAAAGAAACGTATGCTGCAAGTTCGGCACACCATTCGATGTTACATGCATCCACAAGTGGTCAAACCCAAACAAGCCCCGTTTAGGCCACCTCTTTACCGAACCACCTCTGGACGAACCCCATCATGGATTTCTCTTCACCTCCAAACTTTCGATGAAAGTGACGTGTTGGCGAAGGGAGGGAATGCCGATCAGCCAGGAAGTCCGTCCTTCATTGTCCCACCCACCTCCCGCCATCCACCTCTACACCCTCTACACCAAAGCCCCCAATCCCAATCCGCGTCCCACGGAAGAGCTGTTGCTGCTGCTGCTGTTGCTGGCCCCGGTGGGGGAAGACATTCGACGTCACGACGGTGACGTGAGCCTTGGCATTAGCACCAGCATTAGCACCCGCACCAACTTCTCTTTCAACAAAAAAAAACTTCCAGCACAACCCTGACCGGCCCTGATTGATCGCAATTGCCGCAGACACAGCAGGCTTGCCCCCAGGCCCAAACCAAGCCTCCAGCCACTTGAATGCACAAACAAACAAACAGGAAAAGGAACATCTAGCTGAACCCCTATACGTTAATTCGGCCACATATCTCCTCATCACGTCTGGGACCCCTAACCCGCAAATCCATCTTGCTTTGGCGCAATCTAAATGAAAAGGGCTATACGCACCATGGCCCAGCGCCACGCGGGAAAAACTTGTCCAGACTTGTCCAGAAGGCTTCATGAAAAAATGCTTCACCAACCCGCTACTTAGACGGAACTCCACAGCATGCTAGATTTATGTAACTAGCAAGGAATATAGATAAGCAGCAATGGCCGCAGGCGAAAGAAGCTCTTTCGAGGCCTGCAAACATCTGCCCGGTACATTTCGAAATTCGCACGGATGCGGCTTGTTAGGCAGCATGCCCATGTAAAACACACACACACACACACACGCACGCACATACCGCAAAATAAACCCACCATAACACGTATTTCCGAACCGCCGCAGAAATTCATTTTTCTGGATCTGCATGATCGACATTGCGACAGAATTCATGGCAATCCATAAGGCCAATCCCAATGAAAACCCAACGGGAGGACCGGGCGCATATGGGACAATGTTTCGAAGAAGAGGAAGAGGCCACAGGTAGCCCACAGCCATCCAGCTCGTAAGCTGGATATGAAGCTAGCCCACGAGCTAACCGCCAACGCACATGCATACACGTGACGAGAACGTGACAAACCAGCTTTTCAATGTGGTGCATCTCTACAAGTGTATATGCTGCACTTACTCAGAACCGACCAACCCAAACGATAAAACGAACTGCCGATCTGGTCCCTCCTTGTACCCATCCAACCATCCAACCATTCACCAAACAAGGAGCAACACAGTAGCCCTGCAAGCAAAGCCCAACCTTCACCTTTTCTTCCGCTGTTATCTAAGAACCCGACGAAGAGGGAAAAGCTCCGAAAGGACGGCGATGTGTACCGTGGCGCGAGACAGCCAACTTCGCCGGCACTGAAAATGCTTTCTCGGGAAGTCTGCCCCGCTGCCACTGCACGATATAGCGATGATGACGATGACGATAATACACAGGGCACCTAGGATGAGAACCAAGACCGGTATATCCAGGGCAAGCCATGTGCATAAGCTACGTAGCCCCCTGTACTCGCCTCTGAGCCCACAGACACCGTGCATCTACCCAAAGTTCAACCATTCACGCGCCTTAAAAGCCTGCCACCAAGGCGAAGCCACTACATTTCCCCCCAGGTCCCTCTTCAGACGCTGCCAGCACCCCACAGCACTTCACCACCATTACCGAAGCAGTAGAGCGACACGCAGTGGCGCGATTCCAGGTTTTGAACTTCCCGCCGTCATGAACCTCCTCCATCTCCCCGGCGGTCATGATGATGATGATGCAGCACAGCCGCAAGCGGCAGCAACTCCTCACTTAGCTAACCAATTAGCCCACCATGCGCCAACCGACAACCAACTAACCGTTTATCGTGCCTTCAGTTGCTATCGCCATTATCATCATCATCAGATTAGATCAGAAGCAGAAGCAATAGCAGCGTTACTGTCGCTATCACCAATACCGCGACACCACATACCACCACGCGTTGCCTTGCTGCCACTTGCCGTCCTCCTCCTCACTCAAGTTGCTCCGCCATTGCCCCTCTCGTAACCCCGATCAACGCCACTGTCTCGCGGGCCCCCCCCCACTTTCCGGGACGTACATACATTCATACATCCGTTCAGACACCCTCAAAAGTACAATCCTATGGAAAAAGAGCTGCTGCTGGTCAGGTGGTATCCCACCCGCCTTACCCTCACACAACTCGCAAAACTAAAACAAATCATTTTTTATCCATCGGTAATGCTGCACGTGCGCGTCTGTTGGGATGTAAATCGTGTTTGCATATCGTGCACGTTGGAGTGCGATGATGTGCGTTATGGTGGACAGCGCCTGGTTATGTCTGGCCGCCAAAGTCATGCAGTCAAATTACGAGGCGGGCTGAGCATGAGTGCAGCGCATAAGATAAAGACAGCACTACGCGGGGCCACAAACGGCCCACCAACAAAACACACGCGCACACACGTAAATACAGACAAACACACATCCAGCGCTGGAGAGAGGAAAGCCAGGTGGCAGTTTTAGCGTGGGGTAATACGGGAGCCTTGAGGGGAGTATTGGAAGCCAGGGAAATTCCCCTCTTTGCCTTTCTCTCCTCTTGTCTCTCGGTCGCCAGCACCAGTACCCCAACATCCAGCATCGACTAAGCAGGCGCACAGTGCAGTGCACGAAGGCGGAAAAAAAGTAAAAAAAAAAACTTTTTTCTTCCTCCAAGTGCGGCGACGCAAGAGGCCATATACGTCCCCATGTGGTGCCGCTTACCTCTAGGTTGTGTTCG